TGAGAATGGTTTGTTGATTGATTGATTGATTGATTGGCTGGTTGATTGAATGATTGATCGATTGACTGAATGATTGATTCACTGATTAATTGCTCAATTGAATATCAATCTGTAGGATTAATAAATATTGGTTATTTCTTAAATTCTTAGGTGAACATTTTAGTTGATGCAGCAGCCCACTCAGAAACTGACCCGTTGAAAGGAGTGTCAGAAGCCATAATGCTCGGACAACTGGCCAAGATTGGTTAGTATTGGAACTGTGAACAGTTTGTGCTAATTAATTATCATTCTTATAAAGTCATAATCATATTATTAGTATGATTAGTTTAGCATGATAAAGATAGTGTACTTTACGTTGGTTAGGCTAGAGATTTCAGAAGATACTTAAGTAATTAATCAATTAGCTTGTTTTTATATGTAATCTGAATTAAATATCATTATGTGTTTCAGGTACTGGTTGTTTCGACTTGATGTTGGATGATAAACAGTGCGTCAACGGAATGGATATTCCAAGCGAAATTCCATCAGGACACCTAGCAGGTACGTTCTTTCATAATTCTCGTAATTATTTCTCAAAATTACTTATTTTATTGAAAATCTTTTTTTCAAAATTTAGAAATATGTATTTATCATTACAATCATTATATATTTTAACTATATATATGTATGTATAGAGAAAAAATTTTAAATAGTTTTTTCACTAATCAACTAAAAATCCGAATTTTTACTGATATTTCAGGCGGAGACATATACGGTCTGACCTCGATGCCTCCCGTGGGCGCGACCCTCATGAGCACAACACAAAAGACCCCATGGGAACAACAAAACTTTGAAACTCCAAACTACAACTGTTTCTCACCAGATGCAAGCCTGTCACCGGAATTTTCTGGAGGGTTTTCACCCGCAGATAACACAGGATTCAGTACCAGTTTTTCTCCAGCTGCTATGTCTCCTGGATCTCAAACACTAGCCAGTCCCTCTTTTCCAAGTCCAGCTGGAGCATTTTCACCATCCTACATGTCGACTTCACCATCATATTTTCCACCGTCCCCATCATATCCACCTACAACACCATCATATTCACCAACATCACCTTCATATTCTCCAACATCACCATCATATGTACCAACATCACCAAGTTACTCGCCGACTTCTCCAGCTTACTCACCAACATCACCATCATATGCACCAACGTCACCATCATATGTACCAACATCACCATCATATACACCAACATCACCAAGCTATTTGCCGGCATTACAACCATCCTCACCAAGCTACAACCCATCCAGTCCTGCTTACAGTCCATCCTCGCCTTACCTGTCTTCCTCATTATCTTCTGGTGCTTCCCCAAGATATTCCCCAACTTCCCCGGCTTACTCACCCACTTCCCCGGCTTACTCACCAACGTCTCCAGCATATGTACCATCATCACCAACCTACTGGCCGACATCACCAGAAAGGTCGTCGTCATCACCGGTCTACAACCCATGCAGCTCTGGTTATGCTCCATCATCGCCAAGGTACCCACCGGCCTCGCCTTGATACTCGTCGACTTCTATGTCACATCATTAAATATAGATGTTGACAGATGTTTGAACTATTCCAAAGATGATTACCATTTATATACTTTTTCAATATTATTTTCATTTTGCTAGTTCGATATCATGTAATGTATGTTATTACTATTTTATTATATTCGCGTGAGTATGCATTTTTTTATGACAAATGTTAATTTGATTTACAGTTTTATTTTGCTACGTATGTTTCTTAGTTTTTTTTATTTTTTTAGTTTTATTATTTGACTGATTACGATATATTAATATAATTTATTAATTAAATGTAGTTTATTGAACTGAACTCGCACCAGTGTTTTAGTCCTTAATTGTTATCTTGATTAACTAACTAACCAAAAAGATTTCTATATAACATAAATAATCATAATCGTCGTCGATATAATATAACTCACCGACCCGCTTCTAGAAAAAATGAACTCTTCACATATAACATACAAAAAATGTTTAAATAATTCTAAGTGAACATAATAGACGAAAATCTTAAAACGATTAAACAAAGTGGTCGACTTTGCTGTTTCCTCAACTGACAAGTGTGTTAATACGTCCTTCCAATTTATGCCGTTGTTGAATACTTTCAAATTTGAATTTCTTTTAACTGTTCGACTGCGGATATTCGAAGCATTATTTTCTTTTTTTTACGTTCAACATAAGCTTTCTTGCTATTTTTTTTCATATTTTTGCACAACACCGGTCTGTCAACCGACATCTCCAGAAAGCCAGAAAGAGGAGAAAATTTGGAGCCGAGTGTGGCGAGGCGATTAACAAACAAGAAATTCAAATGTGCGTGTATGTGTGTGCATGTGTGTATTTTTGTGTGTGTGTGTGTGCGTCCGTGTGCCTCTGCGGGTAATTGTTCTACGCTCCACAAACAAATCATCAGCTAATCATCACATATCAAATGAAATATATCAGTTCCAGTTCCAAGACGACAACAACATGGTTTGCGATGAATTGGCAAGATGATTGTAAAGCTTCAGATAACTTGCTCTAATGTTTCAATCTGACTTATCGCACTGCACATCTAGATCATGGAACAGCGATGACAGTTTGTCAAGCACGCTAAAAACCTACTTCATCACCAGACACAATGCAAGGAAGGTTGTTCAATTGCGAAAATAGTACCCTCTGTGCAATACCCACCCTTGGGTTGCTCCAGTATCTGCAAAGGCCACCCTTCAATGTCAACCTTCTCACCTGAAAAATTGCTCCAAGAAATGAATGAAAGATATCTTTAAAGTTAATGGAATTGAGAAAAAAATTATTATCAAACTTTAGAGTCAGTCGACCGAGACTTATGCACTTTTAGATAATTTATGAAAAAAAAGAAGAAAGGAAAAAGAAACTGCTAATGATTAAATATTGTGAATACGTTTACTGAAAAAAATGACTTCATTAATAATTAATTATCAAGTTGATAAATATGAAGTCACCTAGGTTGATTTTTATCATGTAATATTATGTGAAAAAAATTTTTTGGTGTTTTAAAATGCAGGTCGATGGTTTGGTAAATAACATTTTAATTTTAATCGATGCATCAAATGATCAAGTTCAAAGTAACTTCAAAGACTGTAAAAAAACATTCTTTGCTCTTTCGTTCGCGCATAACAATTTTTCAAACAAAGAAACGACATCAAAGGTCGAGACACGTGAAACTTTCAACTAAGGAAGCCAAGTGACAAACAATGCTCAACAAATCTATATAAAGGCTTTCAAGAGTCGTGGAATATAAGGTGTCTATTACAATTATCATTTCAAATATTCATTAACTTTATTGTTGGCAAGAAATAATTTTTCTATGAATAACATTGACAATTTATTAAAGCGTATTTTATTCAGAAAACAAATTTTATCAATTGTTCATGATAAATTTTTTGAAATTTTTTCAATTTAAACCAAATTTGCAGTTTTTTTTAAATCTTAAACCCCAATCGAGTAAAATGTTTCAATTAGAGAGCAATGAAAGCAACAAGAAAAGTATTAAAACACCTGTAGAGCATCAAAACAGCTACAAAAATATGATGAAACAAGATTTTCTTTTTCTAGTGGAAGAAAATGAAGAAATTCATTTCAAAATTGGCTCTGACGCCGAATGTTGCATATGCTGCGATGGGCTGGGTAACACACCTGAAAGCGTCTACTTGAGAGATTGCAGACATGTTTTCCACCTACACTGCTTGAAGAGACTCTATTTAACAAATAACCAACTCAAATTTCCTTTCTGTTGGACGGTGTACGAGATGAAGTTTGGAGGGTGCCCAGAAGGGATTTTAAATTTAGAAACAAATTAAGAGTTTGTAAAAGTGGAATTCATTTTGCAAGATCATAGTTGTGCTGTAAAGTTGAAAATGAATGACGGTGATGGAAGAACTGTAGTTGAGCTGCTGAGGAAAGCATGGAGGAGGCAATTGTTAACGAGCCAAAGATTGACCTTCTTTGAATTGAATGCCTTTGCAAAAGAAATTGTAAAATCTACTTTAAATAGTTTGAATGTAGTTGAAAATAAATTATTAGAAAGAATTTGAGATGAAAATGATGAACTACCAAATGAAAATATTGAAGAAGCAGATGATGATTTCTTCAACGATTTTCATAACGATGATGACGATGATTACCCTTACAGCCATCAGGATGACGAAAAGGTTGAACGGACAAGTCTAAATGACGAAGATGAAGATGGCGAGATTATCATTAACATTTTGAGTGACGAAGATAACGATGTAGATGAATACGATGGTGATGGTGAAGTTAATGATGATCTACGTTACCTCGGCAACACATTTCAAAATTTTTATGAAATTGTCGACGTTGAAACTGATATCAAAATTGTCAAGTTACGGGGTTAACACAAGCATTATTGGATGGGTCGGAAGTTTCTTGACCAATCGAACATTCCGGGGATGAGTTATCACAACCAACTAAGATCACTAGCTTCAAATTTTGTGAGAAAGTATTAGTGAGTTGATTTCGAAATTTAACGAAATTAAAATTATCAAAAAACGTGCAAAGTTGGGCAAATTTATATTTTACGTTACGTTCTAGATCGTTCTAGATGGCGAAGCGATGGGCTAAAGTGCTTGGCAATGATGTTTCAGTGGCTGGGATCGAAGGCAAATTAAATTTAAGATTCATGTATATTTTCATTTCATATTTGTTGTTAATACCTATAAAAGACATTTTCCCGAGTCCTAGAGCCTAGGTTTATCTCCCCCCCCCGTTTCAACCTTGCCAAGCTACTGGCTTAGGCTCGATTAGAGATTTTGGGATTGAAACAGTTGAATAATTTTAAAGTATTTTTTTAATAAACTTTTCAGTTTATTGGGTTGTTTTTATCTCTCAAAATTTTGACACTCCACCGCAAAAAATTGTAATAAAATACTGTGGTAGACTATGTTAGTTTGTTTCACACCAAACACTAAAATATTAGTTTATTTAAATAATTTAGGAGTATTTTCAATTATTTTAAAATTCAACATAATACTTCTTTACGATTTCTGAAAAAACATGACAAAGATTAATTTAATTTGTAACTTCAAATGAGATTGCATTGTTATTCGGCTTTACACATACTACATGGTTACATGCTACCTGCATACAAAACAGATATAAACCACATAAATATATTCTACATAGATACACACTGGTTAGATACATGCTACTAAGATACATAGCTACCACATCATAGGTACTTTATTTATAAGGTTAGTAACTATATATCTAAGTAGATGTATCTAACTAATGTGTACATATATATATATATATATATATATACTACAAACAAACATAGTTACTACTATAAAGATACATACGGCACAAAAACATACATACATAGATACATATTACATACATACACTACACACATAGATACATAGCTTCAGTCACTTCAAGCTTGCATGTCATATATTTCATCACAATAAATTAATGATGGCCATTTACGAACGTACATCAGAATAAACATAATACAAGATCGTAATCAGTTACTTTCTGCCATTGCACTTCTTCTTCTTCTTACTTGTGCCTCATCCTTTCAGTTTTCCATTTCTTCCTTCCGCATGATTTGACCAAAGAACTTTAACTTTTCCGTCGGATTATCTTTACTAATTTCCTGTTTTCATAACCGGACTGTTTTAAAACACCCTCATATAGGAGGTATGAAAGGTCCAACTAATGAACGAATGAGCTTACCCAACAAAAATTGAGTGTTTTTATTGGTAGTGTTTACAATCCAGTAAAAATTAAATATAAATTAAATTTACAAGAAATTAAAATAAGGAAGCACTAGTGATCTAATTGTCTTAAAATTATATGAATGACAGTATTTGAATGTCGGAAATGTTACTGAAGAAAATATGGACGTGGTTAAAATTTGCTCGACTTTCAAAGGATCTTATCATAAAAATTAGGCGCTTTATAATTTATTTTACAAAATTGTAATCCAAAAAACTTCAATAACTTAGTTACAATTACGTCATTCTGACAACGTTTTTATAAGTATTTATTATTATTTTTTTGTATGATTATTATTATTAATTATTCTCTCTTAGATATTCCTCAGAAATTTTTTGGTTGGTTATCTTTACTAAATAGCTATTGTCAAATTTTCAGACTAGAAGCACTGTTGTGGCTGTAACATCTTGATTTTACTTTTATATATCAAACTTGTATGTGAAAATTTTTTAGATGCTTGATGAATTTTGATTTCATGCTATTTTGCGATTGAATGCTATTTTCCATGTTAAGCCGCTGAACGTGTCGTGTTTGTATGTTTGTTTGTTTGTGTGTGTGTCTGTGTGTCTGTGTGTGTGCTTAAAATTAATTAAATGATGATGACAATGATGATGGTAATGATGATACTGATGATGATGATGTCAATTTGTTTATGTAAATGATGTAAAAATGAAACATCGATTTTTCTTAAAAATTATTTTTCATAAATGCAAATTCAACGGAACGTGATTTTTCGCTCAAACAATATGCAAATTAATAAAATAAAATAATAAAATATGCAAATTATTAAAACGAAATAATATTTTGAAATAATATAATAAAATTATTTGCCACGTAAATTATGAAATATATTATCAAATATATTTTGAATGATGATATTGTCACAGGAGACCATACTCTAGTATAATGGTCAGATTGTGCAATGGGTTAAAACCAGTGGCGGCTCTAACGCTTAGCAGACTGAGCAGCTGCTAGAGGCCCCGGACGGCCAAGGGGCCCCGTGTACAAATTTATCCCTCAAAAAATACTTCAAATAAATTTTTCAATATAATGAAATTTCAAAATTTGAAAAAAATCATAAAATTTTAAATAATATTTGTTATTAATGGAAAGGGGGCCCCGTAAAAAAAATTATTTTAAAAAAATAACTGAAATAAATTTTGAAATATAATGAAATTATTAAAAAAAATTTTCAATTACTATGCTGAATTCAACGTTAATAAGCGTTTGCAAACATTAGCAGTTCACAGTAATATGTTTGAAAACAATCTGTCATTCGTTTCGTTAGCCACCGTGATATTTCTTCGGACATCCCTACTTTTCTGTCTTTAATATCGTATCGTTGTTTCGTTGTTGAAAGCGAGTGTTTTTATTTTTTAAAAAAGTATTGTGGTCAAATAATTAAAACGTTATTTAGTTGTCTGTATTTTTCTTTTATTTCAAGTACCTAAGTGGTAAACATTTTTATTTACTTTTGATATAAATTCATTAAATGAATTTCATTTTAATTAATTACAAATGGCTTTTATAATTAATTGAATTGTTTCAATATTAAAATTCAAACTTGGCAGATAGATGCTATTAAAACGTAATTATATTTTAATAATTAATTAATTAATTAATTGATATAATAAAAACTACTTCTTTCATAGTACAAAAATGAAAAGACATCAAAGTGGAGCGGAAAAAAGGAAAAAAACCTTAAAAATCCAGGAATTTGTTGAAAGTCAGAAAAATGCATTTCATAAATATTTGTTAGTAAATAGCGATATCGAGTTACCTGTGCCATCAACATCTTCTTTTGAACCTTGTCACAGACCAATAAGTGTTGAAAAAAGGGAAGAAGAAGGAGAAAGTGAACATCAGGTTGATGAAAAAAATAGTGAGATAACAGAAGACAGAGAAAATCCAGATAAATTGTATAATAAGAAAAATGAAGAAATTAATGATATAGCCTTATGGCCAGCCAGTTTGTCTGATTCATTTATTGACTATATTTTAAAAGATAAACCAGAAAATATAGGAAATATAGAAAACTTAAAATCGGTGTTTAAAGAAAAAGATGATGTTTACTACAGCAGAGGGCTCTCTAATGATCATTTTTATAGAAAAAAATCAAACGGAGTTTTGGAAAAAAGAACATGGCTGGTATTTTCCGAAAGTAGCAAGTGCGTTTATTGTTACCCTTGCAAACTTTTCTCCAAGAAAAAGTCCAAATTAATAACTGGCTTTGAAAATTGGAGATCAATAATCAGACCATGAAATTTCAAAAGAACACATGTCATCTATGTGCACTCTGTTCAAAAGATCAACTGCTTTGAGCAGAATTGATGCTCAACTTTTGCAGGAAAGAGAAAAAGAAGAGTATTATTGGAGAGAAGTTTTAAAAAGGATTGTTTCAACAATACAGTTATTAAGCCGCTTAGGATTAGGATTTCGCGGACTTGATGAAAATAAAAATTTCAATAGAAAAGGAAATTATTTGACCTCTTTGGAATATTCAAGTGAATATGATGAATTTTTAAAATTACATTTACAAAAATATGCAAACCAAGGACGGGGTCATGCAAGTTATTTATCTTATATTTGTGACGAATTTATAGGCCTCATTGGCAATCAAGTAAGGGCTGAAATAATTGAAGAAATTAAATCGGCAACTTATTACAGTATAATTATTGACTCCACTCCTGATATTGCTCATGTTGACCAACTTACTTTTGTGATAAGATATGTTTCATTTTCTGGTAAGATAAATGAACGATTTTTAGGGTTCGTTCCTATAGATGAGCACAGCTCTTCATACTTGGAAAAAGAAGTTTTAGAAACTTTAATGAAATTTGGCCTAGATATTAAAAACTGTCGAGGTCAATCTTTTGACAAAGCTTCGAACATGTCAGGAAAGTACTCAGGTTTACAAGCACGTATTAAAGAACATAGTCCGAGTGCGGTTTTTATTCCTTGTGCTAGCCATTCATTGAATTTAGTTGGAAATTTTGCTGCTGAGAGCTGTAACACCGCGGTTCAATATTTCATGTTTGTGCAAAAGCTATTTACATTTTTTTCATCATCAACTCATCGCTGGAAAATGCTGAACAGCAAAATAGATGTTGATTAGTCTCTCTCGTTAAAAAGGGTATCAGATACAAGATGGTCAGCAAGAGCTGATGCTGTTTTAGCTTTAAAACTGAAATATACAATAATACAAGAAACGTTAACTGACCTATGCAATAGACAGGATGAAAAACCTATCACTATAGTTGAAGCAACATCACTACTTAAAAAAATGAATAAATACGAAACCGCTCTTATGACTGTTATTTGGAATTGTATCCTGCAAAGAATAAATTCTACCAGTAAGTCACTGCAATCAACAGGATGTGAATTATTTAAAGGATCAATGCTACTTAAATCATTAGACAGTTTTATTGAAAATTTCAGAAATGATTATGAAAAAGTTATGACAGAAGCAACCGATTTATCAGGATTACAATCTTTTAGTGAGGAAGATGAAGTAATTTTTAACAGAAGAAAAAGAAATGCGTTTTTTGATGAAAATAAAGAAGAGTATAAATTTACAACTAGAGATAATTTTAAAATCAATACATTTTATGTCATATGCGATAGTATTAAAACACAATTTCTACAAAGAGTTCAAAAATATAAGGTTGTTTTGGAACATTTTTGTATATTTCTTGATTGGAATTTGTCAGAAGAAAAAAAACAAAATTCATTGAAAGATTTGAAAAATATTTACAGAAATGACATTGATGTTTGTAATTTGGAAGATGAACTAAACCATTTTTTATTTTTTTGAAGGAAAATGAGGACGCCATTAAAAATAAGTCAGATAATTCAAGTAATAACAAAGATTTATCATTTGAAAGAATCTATAAAGCCACTAAAGAAATGTCATGCACACTTCTCAATATTGAAATATTATTGAAAATTTTTTTAACTATTCCTTTATCTAATGCATCTGGTGAAAGATCTTTTTCTGTTTTGAAAAGAAATAAAAATTATTTGAGGAGTAAAATGGGGGAACAAAAATTAAATAATTTAACTGTTCTGTATATAGAACAAGAAATAATGAATAGTGTCGACACTGCCAAAATTATTGATGAATTTGCAAGAAGTAAAGCTAGGGAGAAATTTATTTGAAAAAAATGTTGTTTGTCGATTATTATTTTCCAATGATTTCTTTTAATCATTATTGTCAAACATATTTTTTTGACTATTTGGAAATTTTGTATTTTTTTTTATATATTTGTATTTGACCAAATTTTAATCTATGAAGCACATCACAAATAGCATGAAGTCTGAAATGGCGCTCGAAAAAAATATTTGCAATGATTGTATCTCAGGAAGGGTGTTCACCATAGGAAAAAGACAAACCCGAAACACTAAGCACTGGAAGAGCCTTAAATGAACGCAGACACGTTTCATAATATATGTATATATATATATATATATATATGTGTGTGTGTGTGTGTGTGTGTGTGTGTGTGTGTGTGTGTGTGTGTGTGTGTGTGTGTGTGTGTTGTGTTTGTAAATAAAAATAACTTGAACATTTAATTAGAATAATTCAGTGTTTAATATTTTAAAAATTTCGCACTTAATATATTAATGTTTGTAACAACTCTGTCGACAAAATATATTCAAATTCGTTAAAAGTTGTTTTTAGTTTAAAGATGTATATCACCTACATAGTTATAAGTTGGAAATAATTGAAGGTTAAAAGCCTCTCTACGACACACTAAGTTTGAGGGCCCCAAATTTTTTTCTGCTTAGGGCCCCCGCTTGACTTAATCCGCCACTGGTTAAAACAAGGGTGGGCAAACTACAGCCAAGCCATTTTTATGCGGCTCACGAATCTTTGTACACATTCTGAAAAAGAAAAGAAAAATGAAATGACCAATAAAAATGTCGTCAGCTACAAATGAACATCTTAACGAATTTTCTCCACAACCGGTCAATGGTCGAAAAAAGTAATTATGCAACCATCCAAGGGTAAAATAGTTTTCAAGGCGGTCCTCACAGCAAAAAGTTTGCCCACCCCTGAACTAGAGTATGGAGCACCAGTATGGTCTCCTGTGACAATAAAAGATGTGGAGTCGATTGAGAAGGTGCAGACAGGAGCTAGTTACTCAGACAGTAGTAGAATACACTCATATGAATTATAAAGAAACACTGAAATTTCTGCATCTACCTACCTTGCGGTACAGAAGGATTAGAGGAGATCTGATCGTGTTGTATCAAATGATGAAGTCCAACGGCAATAGATATCTTCCCAAACTAGTAGAAGTCGACAGAGGCACAAGAAGTAACACAATGAAGTTGACGACGTCATCTTTCTGAATTAATTTGAAAAAGCATATTTTGCATTATCAGAATCATTAATATTTGGAATGGTCTGAATGACAATTTTTAATGAGTTTTGAGTTTGAGTATAATTGGAAAAAAGATCTGACGCAATGTGTGAATTTTATGGCTGAAATGATGATTTGATGATTGTCGAACACGATTTGTGATTCGACATAATGAACGAATACGCAATGAATTGTGAATTTCATGACTGAAATGAAAATTTGATGAATGTCCAATTAAAACATGATATTAGAGCTAATTTAACATAACGCATGAGTATGAAGTAAATTGAATTTTATGGCTTAAAGGAAAAATCGTAACTGTTGATCATTTGAATTAAGTGGGTGGAATAATTTTTGTAGTTAGTTTGGCGAAATGGTTAAATTTTGATAAGATTTTTTACTAGTTATGAATAAATAAGAATTTTATTACTGGTACAGATAGGATAATATTTTAGCCTGGTTTAAATAAATTTATAACTTAGGACTAAATGATTCATAATAGTAAACAATAAGAACTACTATACTACTGTTGCTACTTCCACTACTAATACTACTACTGCTACTAATACTACTACTATTACTTATACTACTAATACTAATTACTTAATTACTTCTACTACTATAAAAAGTACTACCTATTGCTAAAGATTTTACTTTCACTACCACTACTATTTACTACATAGTACTACTACTACCACTTTTACTACAACTATAACTACTAATACTACTAATACTTTTAACATTGTAATTATTACCAAGGCTATTATCGTTCTCCGATGAAATTTATTACTGCAAACAATTTCCCAATGCTGATGAAACCAGACCAAATCACGTGATTCACTGATATGGTTCAATTTTTTTCTTTGAAATGTACCCTAAAGAAAATTTACTATTCCTGGATCCCTTCATTTCTCTGAAAGTCGAAAATTTGGCGGAAACAGTTTAGTTGTGACATCATCATCATCCTGACAAAAAACCATCAATTTTGATTTTAAAAATTTTAATTATTGCACAAAGTTGCAACAAAAATATTGACTATCCAAATTAAGAATTTAAATTAGAAAAAAAACCTCATCACCAACATGAACAACAACGACGGCGATGAGGACGACGATGACGGCTTGGGCTTGGCCGCCGGGACACCGGAAAAGCTCCTCACTGACAGCTTCAAATTTCTCAAAATTTGCAAACAGCCAACCAGATAAAAAAAACTTTTACATTGAATTGCAGACTGTCTTGAAGGAAAAAAAAGATGTGATAGATAAATTAAGTGCCCTTGTTCACAAAGTAGTTATGGATCAAGTGATTAATAGCTTAAAACAAACAGAGATTCTCTCAGCATGGTAGTCTTTACGCTGATTTATCTGTTTTAGATTCAAAAAATTTTGCAGAAATTTTAAAGAAAACGCCCAGTGACGCTCTGCAGTACTTGGGGTTGTCCCAAAAAATTGACGACACAGTAACAAAAGAACAGCTTCAAACTGAAGTATTGTATTTTGCAATAAATAGCAAGCAACTCTCAAAGATAAGGTAAGATAATTTGATCTTTGAAATGCAAGGGGAAAACATTTAATAAGCTGAATCAGTAGAGTTGCTTAAAAATGTGTACACCATCCATCCCATCAGTTGAAAACAACAAGAAGCACAAATATGAATGCAAATCATTTATAAAATGTAATGATTTTTGCTTTCCTAACGTTCTCTTTGCATTGCTTTGCATATTCAAATTTGAATTAGGCTTTCAAATTTGTTTTAACATTATTCTTATCACAAATTCATTATTATATATTATTATAACGTATTATATATATTATACTATTATATTATAGCAATACCAGGATGGATTTTTAGATCTTATAAATACGCAGTGATTGTTGAGAACACTAGTTGATAATTTTGAAATTTTTTGAGTGTTATCATTAATTTCAAACTTATCAGTCACATATTTGTTAATTTTCATCAATTTGGTTTACAGGTTTGTTTTAAATAAAGCTTTTAAAAGTTATTCATAATGTATAAAGCTTAATCAAAATAAATATCTGATATTTCGACATAATATTTTATATTTTAATGTATAAAACTTAATCGAAATAAATATTTTACCAAGTGTATACTTTCTAATGTTATTGAGTGTTATCACTATTCCAATTGATAAAAAATTGGCTTAAACGAAACTGTTTGATAATTTGTTTATGTTTAGAGATACGATGTATAATTTGGTTCATTTATGAACGCCTATAATTTTAGTGATAAATTGGTGAATTTATTCATGAATTCGCCGATACAAACACACATACACATACATACATATAAGAATAGAATACAAACACATCCACATAAACATGCACATACACAGATGAATCCATGCATCCAAACACAAACATACATACAGGATTAAAGAAGACAATGGCTTTCCGCTGTCCGATGATTTTGCTCATGCTTAGTGTTGTAAACCTTTCTCTGATAACAATAAGTTTGTATTTTTGTATCGCCCTGGGCAATATTGGTTGCAAGTTCAAAATTACAAATTCATAGTAAAAAATACGGTCAACAGGGCCAAAACTAGCGTAATCAGGGCCAGAACCAGCTTTATTTGCTAGGGGTGGGGGGCAAAACTCAGTGTCTCCCCTCACCCCGTTATTATTATGCTGCTGCTAAAAACTGTTGTTTAAATGCAGTTTTTAAAATTACATACAACACGTTTCTTATTAAAATGTTTTATTGATGGAAATAGCAATGTATATGTTAGCACATGAAAAAACAACAATAATAGAGTCATACAACATTAAAAAGTGAAAAACTTATCAAAAACGTCAACTTAACAAATAATTGTTTTGTATATTACATTAAAAACAAATTCTTCTAGCTTTTTAATCTGCAAGTGTATTGATTATATTATCAAAATTGACGAGGGATGCTCGTTTTGTTCGATTAAAATTAGGATTACATTGAAAAGCCTCTCCTGCCCCATTGTACTTCTCATGTAGTTTTTGATGATTTTGATTGAGTTTGCTGAAACTTCGTTCTCCAGATGACACTGAAATCATCCGGTCAAAGATTTCTAACATAACCTCTTGCTACACATTTTCAACACTTGCAAGAGCTTTATTGTAACAAAACTCATCAAGCTTTTTTTCATTCTTGGTCTCTCTTCTGAAAATTCAGATGTTAGATTAATCATTTTGCTAACAATTTACTCTAAACAATTCAGATGTTAGATTAATCAATTTGCTAACAATTTACTCTAAACAATGGTCTCAGATGGTGCAAACTCATAACTTCATAAATGTCAAAAGACCTTTGAGGTTTCGGGCAGCCAAATCGATCGTTAAATCTCTTTCTGTAAAAATTCGCTAACCATCCCAATGATTCCAAATTTACCAATATTACTATTTCAAAACAAATACCCTATTTTATAAGATTACAAATAAGATGATTCCGTTTTTAATATTGGCCTTTATATTTTAATGTTTATATAAAAAGAACATATAAATAGTATACAAAAATCAAATTTACTATGATCCAAACTTTGACAAATGCGAATAACTTTTTTAAATTTTTTATAACTTTTCAAAATTTGCCGCCCCTTAAATTTGCCGCCCCCTAGTTCCGGGCCTGAGTTTAAATGATCAATTAATTTATTTTTAAATTTTCATGAATAAACATGTCGAGAAAAAACGACTCAAATTTTTAAAATTTATTTGTAATCCACAATCCTTTTATTGACCAAAACTGGAAATGATTAGACCTGGAAGACTGACTGGAGGATAAAAACTTTGTAGCGGTCGTAGGTCAAATCATGATCATGAATTATTAGAACGAACATTAGAAAGAAAATAAAATCTTATAAACTAAATTAATAAAACTGAGGAAAAAAACTGATTTCCTATTTAATAAAGCATAGAAACATGACATCATAAAAATCTATGACTTGTATATAAAAAAATTTCAGACGCTGAAAAGTTGCCAAATTGCGACGTTTTACTCCGTCCCGTTAAATACAGTCCCAAGAAACTCATAGAACGGGATCAACGCGGTCCGTGCATTTGTATGGTTAGGGAGAATGACAAATTTTTTTTTCTTGATAAATTTTATTAAAATTTCTCCTTTGAAAAAAATAAATTTAGGTCGGATGTATATATATAATATATGGTAGTGTGCTGATGTATGTATGAATTTTAATTTCGATATATTTTAATGAAATGTCAGTTTTAATTAAATTTCATTTGTGGCGTACTGATTAAAAAATTGAGTTAAAGTTCTTCCAGTTTATTTCGTTTTTCCATCAGTTATCTATTTCTAAACTATTCTTTGCTCTTTCACAGGTATAACTTTCCTCACTGATTCTATGAAGGCATCTCTATATATTTCACATTTAGATTTGTTTACGTCTTCGGTCAATAACTGAAAACGATTCCGTACTTCAACGTTATACTTGACCTTGATCTCATCATTTTGTGACAGACTGACAAAATTCCAAATTTTTCGGGCCACTTCACTCTTGATTTTCTTTAACTTTATTTTGATTTTATAAACAACTGGGTTATGATCACTGCCAAAATCAGCTCCAGAGTAACTTTTGCATTGTAAAACAGCATTTCGAAATCGTCTATTTATTTTAATGCAATCAGACATATTACTCACCTTGTCTCCGTGACTCTTCCAAGTATATTTTTTCCTTGGGTGATTGTCAAACCAGAATTTGATCATTTGTGACACACCATTCAATCAACTTTTCTCCTTTTTTCATTTCTTTCACTTATCCCATGAGGATCAACCACATCATGGAAATTAAAGTAGAATAATTTTTGACGCTAACTGACCAGCGTTTGAGTTAAAATGAAATTAAAAAATGGCGTATTGGTTTGGTAACATAATATAAGTCGACAAAAATCATTTAATAGAAAAATTTAAATTATTTCTAGTAAATACCAAAAATATATTAAAAATATTAGAATATATAAAATAGTAGAACTAAAAACTATTACATATAATTAGAAAAAAGATTATTTAACAATAATGTATTTTTATTTTAATTGAATATGTTCAAATGTGTGTACACTTATACTAAAGGGTGTTCCTTGCAATCTATGCAAATATCTTGGACATGCACAGGTTATGTGCTTGGGTTAGAAAATTAATTTAAATTGTTTTTTAATTTGTGGGAAAATTTTTGCCGTAATAAAAATATATATTGATGAGAGAAAGTTATCTTATTAACAATTAATTAATGATAAATAAATTAATTGAATGATCTATTTATATTAAAAATTTATGTAAATGTTATTCGTGTAGTTATTCGTGTATTATAGTATTAAGTTTGATTGCATTTCAGAAAAGAGAAAAAACAAAGTCAAAGCCAAAGGTTTGAAAAAAATTTTTTTCATAATAATGTTTTTTTCTAAGTAAAGACGTTTTTTTAGGCCTAAGTTTAGAAACTGTGATAACTTGATTTGTTTAAGTGAAGTTGTCAAATTTCACTTTTTCATTTCAAAGTTTTCTAAGATTCACATAAAAAAGAACTAAAATGACAAAAAAAATTTAATTGGAAAAGATCCAAATTGCCATATCCGTTTATGTTAATAACAATATTTTTATAATAAAATAAAATGAAACGAAAATTAATCTCAGCGAATTTTCTCCGAATTATAGCAAAATGTTCTCCTTATAGCCTGCAATAAAAAAAACAAGGCTGACAACACAGTCACTGACTACTCTGCTACGCACCATACTACTGCTACTACTACTACTGCTGCTGCTGCTGCTGCTACTACTATTACTAATATTTTTATTACTACTACTGCTACTACTAATACTGCTATTATTGTTATTATTGTTATTATTATTAACTACTACTACTTCTACTGCCACTACTGCTACTACAACTATTACTACTGTTTCTACTACTACTACTACTACTACTACTACTACTGCTACTGCTACAACTACTAGTACTGCGTCTGCTAATACTACTATTATTATTATTACTACTACTATTACTACTTGTACTACTACTGCTGCTGCTGTTGCTGCTGCTGCTGCTGCTGCTGTTACTACAATGTGATATAATGTTTTATATTTTTCCAAGATTTTCCTAGTTGTGACGCCCATGGCCCATTCGAACTTTACAAAAAGCAATCTATGAAACATGTAGTCGACGGTCCGTGCATGTGCAAAGTGGGAAGTTTTATTTTTCAAATTCTTTTGTCGGTATTTCTCATGAATTATCAATCTATCAATTTATCAATTGGTTTATAAAGCGTTATTTGCGCGATGTTCAACAGCGCTCCTAATGAATTTTGCAAACATGTAAGTATTGAGATCCGTTCTGAATTTCGTAAGTGATGGAGAAGTAGTCAGAGAAGGAGGTAAAGAGTTCCAGAGAAAAGGGCCAAAAAAAGCAAATGTAGATTTAGCAAAAGAGTGTTCAACACGTTAAGAAGAAGTGAGAACAAGAAGAGGATCGTAAACTGGGGCGTTTAGGTTCAATTAATATATCTTATAAGTACTTAGGATATAATTTATATTGAGACTTATACATAAATGTGCAAATTTTAAAATTATTCTATATTCAGTAGGTAGCCAGTGCAAAAAACAAGATATGGAGATATATGAGAAATGAAAGGGGCACGAGCAACTAAACGAGTAGCAGAGTTAAAAGCTTTACTTTTAAAGGCCATAGTAGAGCGAGTTACAATAATCAATCCTTAATAAAACTAACGAAATAACAAGAAGGAGAAGAGTAGGATCATCAAAAAAAAGCAAAAGTTTTTTTTATTCTAGGTAGATGAAAGTAAGAACTTCTAGCAACACTATTAATCTGAGAAGAAAGGGACATACTAGATTCGTAATAAATATTGATTAGATTTTCAATTATGTCAATAAATAAACACATGAATAAATAATAATAATAACAATAATAATGTTGTTTTAAGAAGCTCAATTACAAGAAACTGGGATGCACTAAACCAAAAATCAAACCGTGTATCTAAATACACAACTCACACTTTTGCATGCGACAGGCGATGATCTCTTGGCATTCGAACCAGGAGAGTTCATGAACAGTGCTAGGCAACTTGACCATTACACTGTTACTAACTTAAATGAATTATGAAATAATTTCTAAAATATCCATCAATCTAACCTTATATGATATATAAAATATTAAAAAAATTGATTTGAAAAAATTAAATTTTTTTTTTTGAAGGGGATTTTGTGTAAGGAGTGCAAATATAGAGGTCAAACACAAATAGAATGTATTAAGTAAGAGTTATTAATATAATAAATACATTTTCATTAAATTAAAATTAATTTATTATAAATTAAAATAAAATTATTTATTACTAAGACTACAATCAATTATTGAAGACCCACTCATTTTTGTTGGGTTAAAATTAAATTCAATAAATTTTTTTTTCCTTATAAGGCAACAATTTTTTTGCCAAATTAAAATAAAAAAACAAGTTTTAATATAAAAATAATAAAACAACTGAACAAGCTGAAAAACGTCGTTAACTTTTTTCTCGTAAAGGCCGTTCAAGTTGAAGAAGACCATTCCACAACCAATTTCTGTCTCCAGTATAAACAATCGTAAATATTAAAGCCCATATACTGCTTATTATCATTTTTATTAAATATTCGTTATGTGGGTATAAATAAATTAGTTGTCATTTGAACATGTCGTGCTTTTGTTCTGCGTCTGTCAAAGTTTGAAATTTACAAAATAAAATCAATATTTCCGGAATCAATGTCCGGAAAGCCAACAGTCAAAACAATTTAATTTTCATAAACAAAAAACGATCACTTGAAATTTGCGTTCTCCTAAAGCATTGTGTATTTCATTAGGTATTGACTGTCCCGAATTTTTTCAAAAAATATTAGTATAAACTTTATAGCTATCAGTGTAGATACTGACAATATTAATGGAAATAATCATAATAACACAAGGTGCACAAAATTAAAAAATGCTCCCATCATAAAATTATACGGAAACGAATGCAAACACACACACCAGTCTGTATATTTGTATGCATGTTTGTATGTATGTCTGTATGTGAGAGCTCCGGTGAGCCAAATCATCAAAAAGTCCAGAAGAGGAATCTTCGTCAACAAATATTTCGGCCCTGAACAACCTCCTAACATTCTCGGGAGACCGGGCCACGTTCGGCCACGCTCGAACGCTTCTCGATGACTGTTGATCTGCTATTTATACCAAAATTCAGCTTTATATTTCCATACAGAATTGTATCACTCTAGCTATGGCTTGCTAATTCAGCAGACACTTCTTTTTATTTTTATTCAGCCACAACCAATACAAAGCTTGCTCTGTGCTACTAAACTTTTTTCAAGCATGCTATACGCTTCCTGCCTGACAGTCCCAACTCTTTGAAAAGTGCATACGTCGACGCTCCCACTTTTCCTCTTGCACCAGACTCAACAGCGCAGAACTTGGTTTTGTATCCTTTCTTGTTTACTTCTTGAATCAACTGTTCATACTTTGCAGTTTTCATGTCGTGGCTACTGAGCGTGTTATCTTCGTACGACATAGTTAGTTTGATAATGATAACTGAACTCGTATTCTCAGATGCCACCACCATGTCTGGTCTTATGCCTGTTTCTTTGATGTTGGTTGGAAAATTCCATCTTTCTTCCAAATCAGCGTACACAACCCAATCGTTGGCGTTTTTTAAAATACCATCTTTCACTCGGTCATGTTTGACGTCTCTGCTTTGTCCTTCTTTTAGGAAATACACCTTCGAGTTTCTCGCAGACTGAGATTTGGAGTCATTGCAAGCGGAACAGACAGTTTCTACTATGCTTTTCAAAACTTTGTTGTGGCGCCACACCGTGGCCTAGAGCATACCGGCATGACAACAGCACGTGCGCGAGTGTCTCGTGACTTCCACAGAGTGTACATTTGTTCTGTTCTGACAAATTCCACCGAACCAAATTTGTTGGCAGCTGGTCGTATATTCCTCTCATTAGAAAAACTAAACGGAGAGGAGCCATATTCTAAATTTCTTCCCAACTAACGTTTCTCTGCAACACTTCTTCCCACGACGACCATCTGCCCTGTTGACTCTGCTGCACTGGTGCCACCACTTTTTCTCTGCCGTACTCATCACGTTTTTCTTCAATAATCATCTGTCTTTTTGTTTTGTTATAGATCTCAGACCACCACATATTTTGAAACCAGCCTACGCCGTGCACTGCTCCAACAATCTTCTTAAGCTTCAAAGATTGTTCTGCCAAGTCTATTTCATTTCTGGCTTTTCATTTCATCACCGTTTTCAGCAGTGGCTTAACTTGGTCTGCCGAGTTGTCAAGCCTTCATTGACATCTTATTTTGGCGCATATGTAAGTGTGTATATGTATGTATATATGTATGTATGTGTACGTAAGTATGCATAAATAGATAATTACAAATATACTAAGGAGGATATGCAATGCTAATTTACTAGCAAGAATCGACAAATTGCTCGCATTATTAATTGAATTCATTTAAAATATCCACATATTAAATTTTAACCTATGTTGTAAGATATTCAATATGTTCGAGTAGTTACGCTCCCTCTGTGGACGCGTTACTATTGCACGTTTTTTTGATTGTACATGGTGCATGTGTTTTTCCTGAATGCCTCCATACACGTTTTGATGCACATGCACTCATTCTCATTTTTGCACATATTGTTGGTCAATGTCTGCCTCCTCATAGATGACTTTAGCAGAGAGTGCGGGTCTTTCTTTATATTTTCTACGTTACAGTTGGCATCTTGGTACGGCAAGATACTCTCCACTATATCGAGGGACATCTGACTTGTATGTTTTCTGGGGTTGGTATTTATGATGATATTCTTGTGGACCAAGTATCCATCTATACTCTTCGTGTCTTTCTCCAAGAAAAAGTTCACTCTCTTCTTCAGCTCTTCCACTCCTTTGAAGCAACCTAATATTATAGTGTTATTCCCTTCTTTAGTCTTGCGCCCTAATGAACTGGTGGTAATTGGTTTTTTCTATACCTGTCAATCTAGTGGTTGGTGGAATGTACCCTGTTGATTGGTCTTCCGCCACCATTTCATCGTCATTTAACTCGTCAATAATGTCGTGGGTCAGATGGAAAAAGTTTTCAATCATGTTTTGCTATGTTGAACACCTTTCCTTTTCCTGATTCCCATCGTTATCCGAGTCCCCTACTGTTGCGCATATGTCCTCCTTGTCACCCGTTGTTATCTCCTGTGTGTAGGGGATGGGTGTCCTCTTCTCCGCCGTATTATTATTCTTTTTGTTGCTCTCTTTGTTTGGTTGTTTGATTTAGAAGTTGATTCCCTTGTTCCTTTAGGTGATATCGTTGTAGGCTCCTTTACCTGGATATCCTCCGTTTGGGTACCCTGGTCCCTTTTCTGTATCCCAGTTTCTGGTGTTTCAGTTGTCCCCACACAATTATCACATGTGTTCCTTTGTTGTTGGGACTGTTATCCTTCTGTTGCTTTGGCCTCCTCTCTTAAACTGGTGAGATTTCTAATACAGAACTCGATTCGTTTTATAGTTTTGGCATCTCTTAGCGCCTTGTTTTTATTGCCAAACAAAAAGACCACTCTTTTCTTGACATCGCAGATGTTCTTAATTCTTAACAGCTCTTCAGCCGTGAATGTCATTCATTCATTCATTCATTCATTCATTCATTCATTCATTCATTCATTTATTTTTCCTTCATTCATTCAATATTTGAATCAATTGACAAAGTTTTAGCAGTTTTAAAGCAGGCACAAAAGCGTAAATACCGAACAATCAGATTGTTTTGTATATAAACAAATTGTAACAAACTTCTATCTATATCTTAGAATTATATACATTGAATATATAAAATTTTCTCAACAGACAATTTACATCGCAAACGTTTAGGGATTATTTTGAATTAAAATATTTAATGTAATCAATCAAATTTACGATAATTCTACAAAAAAAAATTGAAGAAAATGTTCAAGGCATTATTTCAATTTTTTAGGTAATTTTTTAACAAGTCAAGCTCCTTTTTTTTAAATAAACAAAGTAATAAATAAATTTTCTTTCATATATACATATGCGCAAAATGAATATTAATGTTTTCAAGCGAGCAAATAGCTCATGAATATTAATTAAAGGAGGAGTCAAATTTAAATGCTATCGTTAAAGTTTACCGCTGTGTAGGTGTGTTAATATTAATTAGCAGTTAATATTTATTAATATTAATTCGTTATATTTTAACTACAGTAAAGCATTTAGATATCAATCTATCGTCATAAAAATTTGTCATTCATTATTTTACGTCTTTCATTCCACATGTTGTTCTGTTCAATTTTTGCATTCTCATTGTAGTTATCAACCTCCTCCCATCTTCTTTTAGGCCCTCTTCTGTCATACCCATCTCGTACCACCTGCCTTTCTCGGTCGCACCTGCCATCGCGGTCTCTTTTAAGTCTGGAATAGTCCTCTCTGTTGTATCCATTGTTTGATCGTTGGTCGAAATAAATTTGACGACGAGGTTGTTCTCTTCTTCTGTTCCAGTTGTTGCTTCTGTGATCATTCTCCTTTGAATGGTCATAAGTCTTAGGAGCTACAACCTGCCGTTTTGAAGTTACAGTGGCGATCATAATAATTTTACATCATCATTTCATAATAATTTTAGATTGATCGCAAATTTTTGATTCAAATTCAAACGAATACACCTTCAAATTTCAAAGTTATCATTTTTTTATAACTTCAAAATAAAAACAAGACTACGATGTGACGTACGTGCTGCACGAACGAAAAAACAAACAAAACAAAACCCAAGCATGGAACTGATTCGGGCAATTATTCTCTTGAGTAAAATTTTTATCGCATCGTCGAAAAGTTGCTCCCCGTGCGAAAATAATTATTGCACAATCGAAGACTGCCACGTCAGTTCAAATTTGCTAACACAAGCAGAAGAGTACCAGATGGTACTCATCAGGAAATTGAATTTTGAGACAGTCCCTCATACATTTTTCGACAATGTGATGATCCTTAGGTTGACTTTTCTCTTTGTGAAAACATCGGCACCAATTCCTGAAAACCTCTTCGCCAACATCAACAGATTGGATGTCCTTGCCATCAAGCATTCAGACGAGCTGTACAATATGATGTGGACCAATGTTAGATTCATGGAGCCTCTCGCTGACAAACTGGTGACTCTAGTTCTAACTGATCATCTGCCGCCTGGTTCCAATGTGAAAATGTTTGAGGTGGGTTTTTATTTATTCGTTCGTTTGATGAAAAGTAAAATAAAATTTGTCCCCTCAATACAATTTCTTTATAGACAAATGAAGGTTTATCGTTTGGATTGATTTGATGATTAGGTATTGTATTGAAATTATTAACTAAAAAGATGTACAAGCGTGACTTGAATGTTGAAATTAATAACATTTTTATTGGTTTTTCAGATTTTTTTCAATATAATTAAAGTGTCTATTCATTATTTAATTGTTACATGTACCATTTAATAGAATTATTTTTTTTAGTTACAACATTCTTCAAAAATTTAAATTGCAAGCACTCATTTTTTTTTAATTTGAACTTCAGAATTTTATAAGGCTGGAGACTGTAATAATAAAGAAGCAGTTGGAGACCATGGCGTTCTTAAAGTACATGAAGGTCGTAAAAAATTTGGAATTCAAATCGTGCAGTCATGCTCTGGGACAAATTCAATTAAGCAATTTACACAATTCCGTTGAAAAAATTAAAATAATCTCCACCACCGGCTTGAACTTATCTTCGACATTTTTTCAGTTGTTCAAAAATTTAAAAGAAATTTCAATAATTAACTGCAATGGAACAATCGGGAACGAGTATAACTTGGATACTCTGATGAAGTTTCAAGTGCAACATTCAAAGGATATTGCCAGGCAATTAGTGGCATTGAAAAACAAATTATTAATCGAGCAATCTGTCAGGGGTGAGGGAGGCATGACAACTTTCAACTTGCAAGTGGAAGAGTCGGACGTCGATCCCGGGCAGGAGCACGAAAATGTATTTTACAACGATGTCGCTTTGGCAGATGGTAGACTCAGCGAGCGATCCCTGCTGGATCCTGGCGAGTCAGACCTCGACCTTGACCTCGAGTACGACACCGATATTTCGTCAAACCTTGAAGAAGAACTTATAACTGGTAAGAAGGTGAGCCCAAAAATTTTATTTTTCACCGTTGAAACAACCAGCTCTAATCAATTGATTGCTAAGTGCGGTTCACTTGGGGATCCTGCAGTAGATGTCGTCCTCATATTTCCTGACGAGAGATCAAAAATTTATCGTCGAACTCATATGAGTTTCATCTATGTGGCCCGTCACGTTGAAAACTTCGTCCACATGAAAAATGTGACAGGGGTTTACCAATGTTTCGCGTTCAATAGCTTCGGCACAACAAATTTTGAAAAGGTTCATTTCGCGGAGGTCATAAAAATTAGATCGAAAGTGACTTCCATCTTACCTCCAACTCTTATCTTAACAGTCTGCTCTGTGCTCGTGTCCGCTAACGCATTTTTTAACAAATTTGTGTCAGATGGATGATTTATTTATTTGAAAAGTTCTATTCATAAAATTAAAAATTTGACTAGCTCGTTATTTAAAGCAATACGATGAAAACATTGAGTATAGTTTTCAATTTGAAAAATTCAATAAGTATAATATTTCAATAATTTCACTCATTAAATTTACAAAGTTTGATTCTACGGATAATGAACAAATTTATAACGTTCATGAAAGTTATTGTATCTAAAGCTAAAAATTTTAATATATTTTAAAATCTTGAACAAGTAACAGTAGAATTGTATGTTCAATGCAGATGTCTCTTCAGCAAAACTTCTTCACTTTGGTTTTTGCGGATCCTAAATATGCTTTCCTGAAACATAAAATGTATCACACATATTTATATATGAATATAAACATTCATTTTTTAGATTTATATATATATATATATATATATATATATATATGTTGGTAATAGACCATAATTTTTACAATATTCTATAAATTCTACCGAATGTTTGGCGTTAATATGTTTGTAGTTCGTTTTTTCGATTTATAAATCGATACACAAACATATAACTACAAACTTATAACGCCA